TCCGCCTCCGCCTCCACCGCCGCCTCCTCCGCCACCTCCGCTCCCACCGCCACCGCCGCCGCCACCTCCGCCTCCACTGCCGCCACCGACCCCTCCACCCCCACCTCCACTCCCACCGCCACCCCCACTCCCCCCACTGCCGCCACCTCCACCTCCACCGCCCCCGCTCGCTCCTCCAGCGCCCTTGCCCCCCTTGCCCTTGCCAGAGCGGCGTCTCCCGCTAGGGGCAGACGCCACACCGACCGACTCAAGACCAAGGAGGTCGGCCGCAGCAGCAGAGGCAACAGAGGGCAGAAGGGGGGAGGGGGAACACCCCTCAAAGATGGGGGTGCGCGGGTCACCACGAGAGGCCCCTACAGCGACTATGCTCTTCTCGGCCGCTAGGAGGGACTTCTCGAGGAGGTCAACAGTGAGAGTGGTGGGACAGACAGAGAGAAAGTGGTCCCTGACTACGCGAAGGGAGTCAGGAAGGCGAGTGACTATGTAGTAAAGAGTGATGTACATGGGGGGGGGGTTCTTGGCGCAGAAGTCAGGAGGGAGTGCAGCTCGGTAGCGAGTGTCACTAGTGCGGAGGTGCGTAATGAGGTCAGCGACTGTGGGAAAGGCAGCAAGGTCAGGAAAGAGGTACGGTAGCATGAGACGGCTCAGTGCAGCAGTGGCAGGGGAGGAGTAGCGCGCAACTACAGCGTCGTACAAGGTCTGAGCACTCTTGTACTGACTAAAGTGCGCACGCTCGGAGGTAGGGAGGTGGCGACGCACAGCAAGACGTGCAGCAGCGTCGCGCGTGGCCCACTGGGAGCGAACAGTGGCGTCAGCATCAGCAGCAGGGGCAGTGGAGGCGCCAGAGGTGAGGTCAAAGAGAGAGAGGCCGTCTGCCCTATCGCACTGTAAGAACAGCTGCAGGTCATCTACCCAGACCTCAAAGTCAATGGCCCGACCCTCACCGTCAAAGACGAGAACACTAGGGGTAGCCATGACCCTAGACGACTAGCAGCGCAAACAGTAGGGTGAGGGCAGTGCAGTGAAAAGGCGCTGTGCTCACCAGACTGGGCAGGTCGGGCGGCCCGGAAGGAGGGCGGCGCGGCGGCTTGGCGGCTCAGCTGCTGGGCGGCTCGGCGGGTCGGCGGCTCCGCTGCTGGGCGGCTCGGCTGCTGGGCGGCTCGGCTGCTGGGCGGCTCGGCTGCTGGGCGGCTCGGCTGCTGGGCGGCTCGGTTGCTGGGCGGCTCGGCTGCTGGGCGGCTCGGCTGCTGGGCGGCTCGGCTGCTGGGCGGCTCGGCTGCAGGGCGGCTCGGCTGCAGGGCGGCTCGGCTGCCGGGCGGCTCGGCTGCTGGGCGGCTCGGCTGCTCTGCTGTCGGGCGGCTCGGATGTGCTGCTGAAGGGCGGCACGGCGGTCAGCTGCTCGGCCGGGTGAGACGGCTCGGGCGGCTAGGGTGGCGGGCGGCGCTGCAGCAGGTGACGGGGCCGAGAGCGAGGTGGCGGGGCCGCAGGTAGGGTGGCGGGGCCGCCGAGTGAGGCAGCGGGGCCGCTAGGTAGGGCGGCGGGGCCGCTAGGTAGGGCGGCGGGGCCGCAGGTAGGGTAGGGCGGCGACGAGCCAGGCGGCGACGGGCCGGGACAGGCGGCGCACGGGCCACAACGGGCGGCGACGGGCCGGGGGAGGCGGCGCACGGGCCGCGACGGGCGGCGACGGGCCGGGCGGCGACGGGCCGCGACGAGCGGCGACGGGCCGGGACAGGCGGCGCACGGGCCGCGTCGGGCCGCGTCAGGTGGCGACGGGCCGGGACAGGCGGCGCAGGGGCCGCGTCGCACGGGACGGGCGGCTCACGTGGCCGGGGCGGGCGTCAAAAGGGCGGCGGGCGGGCCGCGTAGGGTGGCGACGGGCCGCTAAGGGCGGCGACGGCCGAGCAAGGGCGGCTCGAGGGAGGCCGCGACGGTAGAGAGAGGACCCGAGGCGCGACTCGGGCCTAAGCGGAGCGCGCTTCGGGCAGAAAAAATTTTCGATGGTGGGCCCTAGGATCAGTTCCCACTAGGGAACCTGCTCGATACCATGAGAAGAAACAAGAGTGGATGAACTATGAATGAAGTGGGTACAAGTACTAACCCTAATTGGGTTGTACCCCCTATGGGATACCCCACTACAGCCTACACAAAAGTATATGCTATATGCGTTCTGACATCGTTGGGTGGTGATGTTTGTCCAAGCAGATAATCATAAGCACTTTCCGACTTCGCGTATTTATGTTTAATATTTCCAGGTTCCGTCCTGGTTATCCAAGCATTTTAGTATGTTTCCTTTTTTGTTGGGTATGTGCGGAGCTGCTGGTGGCGACATTGTTTCAGGATTGTGCTTATAAATTTATAAAAGAGTATATGTAGTTACTATACTGCGAAATTGCTGGTTGATTACGTTTGCAAACCGCTTCTGGCATAATTTGAGTATCAATGAAGTTGGCCGAGGAATGATCATACTGGGGCCTCGGATTAGCAGAAAGATTGGCCATTATCTCCGATACTCAGATTTCGCCTGAGCGTGTTCTCAGGTGTAATCACCAACAGAATCATGGTTTCTCGATATAGTGGGAAGCCTTTCTGGATCATGTTTGTATACAGTCACTCAATAGAAATGATTCCAGCGCTTGCAAAAAAATATAAAATCCGCAGCGAACCTAGATGATTTCTGGGAAGGATCAACCCTAAATACCAAAAGCCGCCCAATATTTTGGAAAACATATTGCAACCCACTTGGCAGAAAAAATAAAACCCAATCGGAAAGGGATGCGACTCGGGAAGCATCAGCCCTAAAAACAATGCCCATTCCCGTATTTAGGGTTGACCCCTCTCGAAAATGCATCCAGGTTCCCTAGGGGTTTTTGTCAGAATCCCAACCACTAGACCATTGGGATAAAAGGGCTTGTTTAAGTAGCGTGTCAGTGCGCCCATAACCCCCCAGGCCAACGTGCCTGTAACCCTTCCCTAGGATCAATCGGGGATCACAAGTGGACCTCTGACACCCCCCCGCACTGGGATGCCCGAAGTGCATACACCGGGATTCGAACCCGAGACCTTCGCTCTGATACCATGTCAGAATCCCAACCACTAGACCATTGGGATAAAAGGGCTTGTTTAAGTAGCGGGTCAGTGCGCCCATAACCCCCCAGGCCAACGTGCCTGTAACCCTTCCCTAGGATCAATCGGGGATCACCAGTGGACCTCTGACAGTTTTATTGTTTTCTGCCATGCCCGAATAGTTCTCGGTAGCGTCGTCTAGTTCTTTCGGTAGCGTTGTTTAGCGGTCGGTTGCGCTACCGAGCACTACCAAGTGAATTATATGGGCTTCATTCTCTTACTACCTAATTTTCCGTTCTTATATCCAAGTCGGGAGGGTAAACTGGATGGTTCTGTTTTTGTCACTTCCTAATGAGTTCGACCAGCGTGAGAAATGTGACTTTAAAGCGATGACCAATCAACGTTGAAAAAGTCCAGGTTGATTACACCTGAGAAAGCGCTCAGGCAAAATCTGAGTATCGGAGATAATGGCCGCAGAAAGATGGCCAACTTAGGGCCCCGTGATTCGCGAACCTACGAAGGAGGCCCGAAGCCACCCACAAGCCTAGGCAGCTAGGCCGAGCTCGCCACGTCACCACCTGCTGGCTTGGGCTTGACGGATTTCGCTAGCACCTCCGTGGACGCAGAGATCGCTAAAGCACAAACCAAGAAGATGTTACAGTGGGAGAAAGGCTTAGCTGCAAGGAAGGGCACAGAAAAGATTTGGGTACCGAATTACGCCCCGCTACGGCAGATCCTATTGGAGGAGATTCATGACGTACCATACGCGGGACATTTCGGGAGCAACAAGACGTTAGCAGGGATAGCAAAGTATTACTACTGGCCCGGGATGGCAGCAGACGTGCAACAGTTCGTCACCTCTTGCGACACGTGCCAGCGGATGAAGAGCCGCAAGCGGAAAAAAGCAGGGCTACTTCAGCCTCTACCCGTACTGGAGCAGCCATGGCAGGTCGTTAGCCTCGACTTCATCACAGGACTTCCTTCGACCTCACGGGGACATGATTCCATCCTCGTAGTGATCGGGAGCAGTGATCGTCAGCCCATTCACAATGGGCAGTACAGATACTTCAGAAAAATAACCCAGAAATAAACATTTTAGCCCAGAAAGATTATCGTAGTGGTAAAAAAATGAAACCCAATTGGATGGCATAAAATTGGGGAGCCATCAACCCTAAAAACATGCGACAATGTGTTTAGGGTTGATGCCTCCCTGACCGGGGCATGCCCGTATGGGGTTTATATTTTTTGCCTCCTTGTCCGTCCGTTCAGAAATCCGTCACCTCGTGTGGTCAGGTCTGACGGAGCGCGTGTGTGAGGCCCGAAATTGGTTAGAGACAGGTCCGGACCAGGTTCGAAACATCGCGACACACGAGGCCCCAAGTCGGTTCTATTCCTAGAACTTCGGGGCCCCAATCTGATCATTTCCCAAGTTGGCCGTGTACATCGCCAGAATTTCCACGACTTGCCACGTCAGTGCTTGTCAGAGACTGGGTATGCTGATTTTCCCTCCTTTCACTTTTTTTTTTCCGGTTTGGTACCACACCACACCAGGGCTTCCGAGCCTGATGGATCACAACAATCTCGAGCGATTGGCTTCATGCTCGGCCTATCTTTCAGGTTCGTGATCTTGTTTTCTTTGCTTTGAGTAGCGAAATGGATTCAGTTCCTTTTTGAGACAGTTTGGTCTACTCCTGCTTCTGCAGGGTGTCCGAGTTGGTGTCAGATCATCAGGTGCTGCTCCACCTTCTCACCAACGAGTTGGTGATCTGGACGGGGAGGCCCAAGTGTGGATGGACTCGCAGCTGTTATTAGCGAAAATTTTCTCACATTACCATTTCCGGAGTTAGTTTTCTTCATTGTTTGTTGTACGATAGAAAACCTTTTATTTCTGGGTGTTGCTTTTCTGAAGCACGGATTTGGTAAGGCCGGCAGAAAGGATGGATGGTCCGAAGAAAGAGGACGAGCGAGCCGACGCGGCAGACGAGGAGGAGAAGGAGAATGCAACAGAGAAGCTCGAAAATGCAGTTGTAGATGACGGAGAGGAAGCGGTGGAGAATGAAACAGACAAAGGCGAGGCGGACGAGGCTGACGGAGGCGAGGAACAAACGGAGGATCTGTCAGACGCACAAGGTGACGACGCGGGAAAAGGAGAGCAGGGAAACGGAGAGAACGGAGAGGATTCAACGGACGGAAGGGGGGAAGAAGCGAGGCCTCTTTTATCGTCTTCGGGAGCGGATGCAGCGACAGCAGCAGCCCCGCAACCAGCCGCGGTGGCGGAGGAGAGCTCGGCAAGCGGCGGGTGGGGCAGTTGGGGAGGCGGGTGGGCGGCGGCGCTGTCGGTGGTGACGGCTATACAGGAGGTGGCGACGGAGGTGACGGGCGAGATATCTCACGCCGTGAGTGTTCAAGCAGAGCCTTTCCTTGTCTCTCGCCTCGTGTCGCTCTTTGGTTCTTGTCTCACGTCGCTCGTCGCCCCTCTCTGTCGTCTCTCGTCGCCCGTCGCCCGTCGCCCGTTCCTCGACTATGACTACGCACGCCGTTCCTCTCCGCCAGTTCCCAATTCCCTACTCTCGCGATCCTTCCGCGCCCCCCTCCCCCGTCCAGTAGCTTTGAAACCAGTCCCTGCTGCTTGTTTTTGCAGCTAGCAGAAAGAAGAGAAGAGAAGGCAGAAATCAGGAATCAGTGGGAAGGAAGTGAAAGTAGGAGGCAGAGGTTAAATAGCAGAGAGAAGAAAAAAATCAGAGAGCAGCAAGCAGAGTCCAGAGAGCGGAGAGCAGAGAGAGCGGAGAGCAGAGGGCAAACAGCAACGCTCGGCAACAGCAGCGGATACTCCTAGCGGTTCCCAAAAGCCGTTTCGAGCTAACCTAAATCCGTCGTTCCCCCTGATCCCGCACCACCAGGCGACTGTTGCGGCGAAGGAAATCATCGAGACCTTTGAAGACGTGGAGGGACAGGTGGCTGCGGAGGGGGGCGGGAGAGGGGAGGGGAAGGAGGTGGGGAAAGGGGAGGGGGAGGGCGGCGCAGGGGCGCAGGCGGAGGAGAAGACAGGTCGAGAGGTGCCAGTGGACGGAGCGGCGCAGCATGCGGCAGCAGTGGGAACGGCAGGCAAAGGCGAAAGCAAAGGGGACGAAGGGCAAGGGCGTGGTGAAAGTGCTGGTGGTGATGATGCTACGGCTGCTGCTGGCGAGGCTGGTGGTGGGCAGGCGGAGAGTGCGGAGGGGGCAGGTGCAGAGGCGGTGGTGAGACAGGCTCCTGCGGTGGTGAAGGCGGAGATGGGGGATGGTGGGGGGAGCGCGGGGCGGGAGAAGGGGGATGGCGCAGGTGGCGGCGGAGCAGAGGCGGGGAGGGACGACGTGGATGATGGCGCAGAGATAGTGGACCCGGTAGGGCATGCGGGCACAGTCATGCATGTGCCTTTGGCATGCATGTGCCTTTGGCATGCATGTGCCTTTGGCATGCATGTGCCTTTGGCATGCATGTGCTTCTGGAATGCATGTGGGGTGTGCGTTTGAAGTGACATGAGCACAATCCTCTCATCTCCTATGCTTGACTCATGTCATTGTATCTCCGTGTGCTGCATGTGTGTGCTGCATGTGTGTGCACGTGTGCTGCACCGACTGTGCACGTGTGTGCATGCATGTGTGCGGGCATGTGTGGTGGCATGGCAGGACTTCAAGGCGTTCGATGAGTCCATGGAGAACCTCACGTCAGGCGCACTGCACGTGCTGGGCTCCGCGTGGATGGGCGGCCTCTCTCTCGTGCACCAGTATGTTACCACCGGCACCACCAGCACCACCACCAGCACCACCACCAGCACCAGCACCAGCACCAGCACCAGCACCAGCACCAGCACCAGCACCCATTCTCCCATGCTCTGCCCCCACGCCCGTTGCACGAACCACCAACCTCCCCTCACCCCCTTCCCTCCGTCCTGAAACACCACTAAAGCACAGGCCAAGTTCCCGTCACACCCTTTTCTCACCCCCACCCCGCCTCCACCTGCCCGTGCTTCCCAGGCTAGAGCAGTCCACTGGCGCTGTGGTGCAGACGATACAGCAGCAGGCCGCTGCCACCGCCGCCATCACCACCACCACGAGCAGCGGAAGCGACGGCGCGGCGGAAGCTCATGCGGCGGGAATCGGCTCAGTGTCCATTCTTGAAGTAGGCCTTCTCGTCTCCCCTCCTCGTTGTCGGTAGGGGGGGAGTAGTGGGGGGGTGTGAGAACGACGCGTAGCAGAGCAGAGTGATTCGTGAGGCGGTTTGAGAAAAGATTAGCGTCCGTTCTTGAAGTAGGCATTTTCATCTCCCCTCCTCGTGGCCAGGAGGGAGTGAGGGAGGGCGGTGGTTGCGAGCAAGGCACATAGCAGAGGGTTCTCTTTGCGGCATCTAAAGCGATCTTAGCTTCTGCTCTTGACTACGCCTCTCGATCTCTCCTCGTGTTCTGTACGGAGGGACTGGGGATGTGAGCACGAAGCGTAACAGAGCATAGTGATTTGTGAGACGTTTCACGGAAAGATCAGCACCCCCTCCTCCTGATCGCTTGCTGTCTTGCTCAGGCGAGCAGGAGGAGGGGTTGCTGTGAGGGGGATGTGAGCACGGAGGAGGGAATGATGTGAGGGGGCGAGGGCGGTGCATCGCGGAGGGCAGGTGCAGGGGCGAGAGGGGAGCTGGGATGCGCGGAGTGGCAGGACGGGGGGCTATTTGGGACATGGACGCAGCGATTCCTGGAGACAATCAACACGCTTATCCTTCCCCATGTTATCCCATCCCTTCCACCATGCTCCCATCCTCCTCGCCATCCTCCCGATCCCCCCCACGTCCCTCCCCCCACGTCCCTCCCCCCACGTCCCTCCCCCCCACGTCCCTCCCCCCCACGTCCCTCCCCCCACGTCCCTCCCCCCACGTCCCTCCCCCCACGTCCCTCCCCCCACGTCCCTCCCCCCCACGTCCCTCCCCCCACGTCCCTCCCCCCACGTCCCTCCCCCCCACGTCCCTCCCCCCCACGTCCCTCCCCCCACGTCCCTCCCCCCCACGTCCCTCCCCCTCATGCCCCTCCCCTCTACGTCCCTTCCGCCAACGTCCCTCCCCCTCACGCCCACTATCGTTGTGCACCCTCTTTCCCACAATCCCCCCCCCTCCCCCCAATGGTCAGAGCGGCATGGGCATGGCGGAGCAGGGCATGCGCATGCTGGAGGCCCTGGGGAAGAACACCATCGACATCATTGTTGCTGAGACCGGCATTGAGCTTGAACAGGATGAGGGGGAGGGCGACGGGGAGAGAGGCGCGGATGGAGGGGGGTTAGGGGGTGGTGGAGGTGGGGTGGGGGGAGTGGGGAGTGAGCGAGGGTCGGGAGTGGGAGCGGCGGTGGGAGGAGGAGGGGGAGGGGGTGGGGGGATTGGAGGGGGGATTGCGGGGATCTTGGGGGGGATTGCGGCAGGGATAGGAGGGGGTGATGGGGGGTTGGGAGGAGGGGGGGTGGGAGGGTGGGGCAGGGAGGAGGTAGAGGAGGAGAAGGGAGAGGAGGATGAGGAGGAGACGTCGTTTGACCATTGCTTCTATATCTACGGTGGCCCTGAGCACCTGGAGGTGCGTGGCGTGTGTGATGTGATGCATTATGGATGGGTGGCACTCAATGCATTATGGATGGGTGGCACTCAATGCATTATGGATGGGTGGCACTCAATGCATTATGGATGGGTGGCACTCAATGCATTATGGATGGGTGGCACTCAATGCATTATGGATGGGTGGCACTCAATGCATTATGGATGGGTGGCACTCAATGCATTATGGATGGGCGGCACTCAATGCATTATGGATGGGTGGCACTCAATGCATTATGGATGGGTGGCACTCAATGCATTATGGATGGGCGGCACTCAATGCATTATGGATGGGTGGCACTCAATGCATTATGGATGGGTGGCACTCAATGCATTATGGATGGGTGGCACTCAATGCATTATGGATGGGTGGCACTCAATGCATTATGGATGGGTGGCACTCAATGCATTATGGATGGGTGGCACTCAATGCATTATGGATGGGTGGCACTCAATGCATTATGGATGGGTGGCACTCAATGCATTATGGATGGGTGGCACTCAATGCATTATGGATGGGTGGCACTCAATGCATTATGGATGGGTGGCACTCAATGCATTATGGATGGGTGGCACTCAATGCATTATGGATGGGTGGCACTCAATGCATTATGGATGGGTGGCACTCAATGCATTATGGATGGGTGGCACTCAATGCATTATGGATGGGTGGCACTCAATGCATTATGGATGGGTGGCACTCAATGCATTATGGATGGGTGGCACTCAATGCATTATGGATGGGTGGCACTCAATGCATTATGGATGGGTGGCACTCAATGCATTATGGATGGGTGGCACTCAATGCATTATGGATGGGTGGCACTCAATGCATTATGGATGGGTGGCACTCAATGCATTATGGATGGGTGGCACTCAATGCATTATGGATGGGTGGCACTCAATGCATTATGGATGGGTGGCACTCAATGCATTATGGATGGGTGGCACTCAATGCATTATGGATGGGTGGCACTCAATGCATTATGGATGGGTGGCACTCAATGCATTATTAATGGGTGGCACTCAATGCATTATGGATGGGTGGCACTCAATGCATTATGGATGGGTGGCACTCAATCACACAGCTGAGCACCACTGGACACACCTTAGTGCCACCTGATGCCCTGGCTCCGCCCCAAACGCCACACCCCACACCCCTACTGCCACCCCACACCGCTCACCGGACACCCCTCCTCTCACTCCATCAGTCACTGGAGGCCGGCTCTGGGGGACCACCACACGGTGGTGTGCATACGAGCACGCAGCAAGCTTCCATGGATGCCCTGGCCCCAACCCACACCCCTCACCCCTCCACGCTCACCCCTCACCCGTCATCACACCCCATCCCTGCCCCTCTCTCCACCAGTTGCTGGAGGCCCTGGCGGACCGCCACATGGTGGTGTGCATACGATTTCACGGCAAGCTGACCCGGCTGCCCTGCCCAATCCCCGCACCCCACACTCTCACTCTACCCCACCCACACTCCTCCCTCCGTCAGTCGCTGGAGGCCCTGGCGGACCACCACACGGTGGTGTGCATACGAGCACGCGGCAAGCTGCCTGCGGAGCAGCGCACGGCGTTTGACGACGCCGTGAAGCACATGCAGGGCGCACTCACGCTGGGGGAGCAGGGCGGGGAGGGGGAGGAGGACGAGGAGGAGGGTGAGGGGGGTGCGGGGGAGGAGTTGCTGGGGATAGAGGGCATGGAGGAAGAGGAGGATGAGATGAATGTGCTGAGGGAGTCGAGTGTGAGCAAGGCACAGGAGCTCGCCAGTGGGTGAGTGGGCTCTGTCCGCTGCAGTGCGCTGTGTGGGGTGGGTGGGTGTGGAGAAAGAGGAGATACGGATGGATGGAAGGTTCAGAAGACTGGGAATGAAATGCTCATGCGCCCTCGTTCGTTCTGCTTCCGTAGCTTTTTTTGTTTTTTTTTTTCCGCTTGCCACGCTTCTCATTCCTACATGTCACTCTGTATTTCTCAATCCACACCTTGCCCTCCCTGATCCCCAATTCCATTCCATCTCCCTCGTTCCTTTACCCCCTCCACCTACTCGTGTGTGTCGAATGGGGCGCATGGCATGGGGCACATGGCACATGGCATGCGGCATGGTGCATGGCAGGTTCCGTGCGAAGCTGAGTGCGGAGGTGCCGGTGAAGGAGGCGGTGCAGCGCACAGTGGACCGCCTCGACGCCCTCCGCACTGAGGGCGTGCATGTGAGCCTGGGAGGGGCCACGGGGGAGAGGCCGTGCATGTGTGCTATGGGAAGAGGGCCTGCTATGAGTCTGTAAAGGGACAAGGGGACACGACTTGAGGGAGGGATAAGAGGGGGGAAAAGCGTGTTGGGCATGGGGTGTGCATGGGGGTGGTACGAGGATGTCAGCATTGAGCTGGAGTGTACATTTGAGCTGGCTGGAATGCATGGCAGGGAAGCTTAGCTATCTTTTTGGAGTAGTTGGAATCTTCTTACGGTCCAGTGTGTTCAAGTCATGTTTGGCCTATCTTGTTACTGAATCCTTTCGTGCATTGTCCCCACCTTTTCCAAGAGACCCCATTTCCACATCCTCCTTCCCCGCCTCGTCCTTCTCTCCCTTCCTAGTTTACCTCCCCATTTCCCAACCTTCAACGTTACCCCTCTTCCTCCTGCCGATTGCCAAATCCGCCTCTTCGTCCTATCTCATCTTCCGCATCACATCCTGATACAGATTCAAATCACCCCTCCTTCCCCCCCCCCCCCCCCCCCGCCGCCCTTCCCACTGTACGTCTCTTGCTCTCTGTTCCAACCCCCAACCTCCCCCATCCCCCCACCACTTTCCCCCATTCTCCCCCCTGTCCCGCCCTCCGCCTGCAGCGCCTGTCGGAGCTATCAGCGCTGTGTCTGCTGCACATGCTGCACATTGCAAACTCCTGCATTGCCTCGCCGGCGGCCAAGCCCACGGAGGGCGATGCTGCAGAGGAGGAGGAAGACACAGGCTCGTTCCGGTGGCCGGCAGGGAGGGAGGAGAGAGCCAGGCTGGTGGTGGCACGGGCACGTACTCTGGCCAGGGGGGCCAGGACAGTCATCCGTAGCTTCCTCAAAGGTGTGTGCTTGCTTGCTTGGCGTGCTTTGATTCTTTCTTGCTTGCTTGCTTGCTTGGCGTGCTGTGATTCTTGCTTGCTTGCTTGCTTGGTGTGCTTTGATTCGTGCTTGCTTGCTTCCTTGCTGCCTGCACTGTGCTGCTGGTCTGCTGGCTGCGAGAGTGTTGACACATGCCCTCTGAGTTTCGTTTGTTTGCTTGTGCGTTTCATGTGTTGTAACTCTGTTATATTGGTACGGCCCATCATATTCTTTTCTCAATGTCATTATATTTTGAATTGTCTTCAGGTGTTGCTGACGTGGAGCAGGCCTTCCAAAGTGTCAGCACAAGGAGCACTACAGGGAGTGGCTCCAGGAAAGAACCCACAGATGTAGCAGCAGAAGGGGTAACCGGAGAAGAAGCAGCGGCGGCGGCGGCAGTAGCAGAGGCGGAGGCAGCAACAGCAGCTTTGGTGAGACGAGTGGAGGTGAAGAAGGGCAGTGTGGCCGATGGATTGGTGGCAGATGGGAAAGCGGCACGGGAGAAGCTGGAGAGTGCGCTGCAGCACTTGGTGTATGTTGTGATGGCTTCATCTAGAGGGCTCACTCATACACCGTAGGATGTGGGTGGGTGGGGGATGCAATGGAAGGTGGGCGGGGAGATGCTCAGTTGGGGTATATGGATGGTGGAACAGGCACTGTTGGGAGCGTAAGTTGCAGATGCAGTGGGTGTTACCCACAAACAACATACGTATGCATTGTTGGTTTGCAGCTTTGTGAGGGAATGCATCAGGTGTGTGGTGGATGCGTTAATGTGACAAACCAAGCAGCATACCTTATATTGATGAGGCATGGTGTTCGACAGTTGTAATAAACAAAGTACATCTGCGGGTGAAGACCAGGGCCTAGTTTATCAGGGTAAATCACCCTGATGCCCTGATTATCAGGGTGGTTTTTGGTAGTAACACTGATGCGGTTGGATAATTTTTGAAGGACCATGATTTACCCTGATGTGCCTGTCAAAGTATATGCATGTTATATGTGTGTAGGCTGTAATGGGGTAGCCAATATGGGGTACAGCCCTGTTTAGGGTTTCATACTTGTACCCAACTCTTCCATAGTGCATGCATTCCTGCTGCTGGATTCTGACATGGTTTCAGAGCACTAGGTCCGTAGGACCGTCTTTTTTTTCGGGCCCACCTACCGTTGCGGTTACCGCGCTACCCCACGTGTTGTCCTGCGCCTGCCTGCCTGCCCTGCCTTGTGACGTGCTGCGCTGCGCGCGCCGTCCTGCAGCCCTCGCGCTGCCTCCTGCTGCCCTAGGCCAGCGCGCCGCCCCTGCAGGCCCGTAAGGCCCGCGCGCTGCCCCTGCAGGCTCGTAAGGCCCACGCGCCGCCCCTGCAGGCCCGTCAGGCCCACGAGCCGCCCCTGCAGGCCCGTCAGGCCCGCGAGCCGCCCCTGCAGGCCCGTCAGGCCAGAGCGCCGCCCCGCCAGTTCGCTGACGCGTCCCCGCCCTGCCGCTGACGCGGCCCCGCCCTGCCGCCGACGCGGCCCCGCCAAGTCGCTGTCGCGGCCCGCCCTACCGCTGACGCGGCCCCGCCCTGTCTCTGACGCGGCCGCGCCCTGTCGCCGACGCGGCCCCGCCCTACCTCTGACGCGGCCGTGCCCTGCCTCTGATGCGGCCGCGTCCTGCAGCCGACGCGGCCGCGCCCTGCCTCTGACGCGGCCGCACCATGCAGCCGACGCAGCCCCGCCCTGCCTCTGACGCGGCTGCGCCCTGCCGCCGACGCGGCCCCGCCCTGCCTCTGACGCGGCCCCGCCCTGCCGCCGACGCGGCCCCGCCCCGCCTCTGACGCGGCCCCGCCCTGCCTCTGACGCGGCCGCGCCCTGCCTCTGACGCGGCCGCGCCCTGCAGCCGACGCGGTCCCGCCCGGACGCCGACGCGGCCGCGCCCTGCCGCCGACGCGGCCCCGCCCTGCCTCTGACGCGGCCGCGCTCTGCCGCCGACGCGGCCCCGCCCTGCCTCTGACGCGGCCGCGCCCTGCCGCCGACGCGGCCCCGCCCTGCCTCTGACGCGGCCGCGCCCTGCCGCCGACGCGGCCCCGCCCGGACGCCGACGCGGCCCCGCCAGCCCTGCAGCTGACGCGGCCCCGCCAGCCCTGCAGCTGACGCGGCCCCGACCTGCCGCTGACGCGGCCCCGCCCTGCAGCTGCCGCGGCCCTACTCTGCAGCCGCTACTGCGGCCCCGCTGTCGCCGCCGTCGTGCGCCTACCCTGCCGCCGCTTGCCGAGCGCCGGCACTGCCCGCCACTGGTGAGCACCTGCCTTGTTCGCGCGCTGTCGCGCCCTCTGCGTGCCTGCCTGCCGCGCCTGCCCTGCCCGCGCTGCTGCTGCTACTACTGCTACTGCTGATACTGGCGGTGGCCAGATGCAGCTCCAGCGACGTCCGCGCGAGTCTCTCACGCCTCAGCAGCTTCGTGAGTGGTACGCTAGTTGGGGTTGTGGCGGTAGCCGTCGTGGCTGTCGCCCTGGAGCTGGTCAGTCGGGAGCGTCTGGCAGTGGCCAGCTGCAGCGGCGTCCGCGCGAGACACTTACGCCCAAGCAGCTTCGTGAGTGGTACGCTCAGAGTAGAGGGTCTTTGAGTACCGTTCGCTGCCCGTACGTCATTCGCACAGGTGATCGGGCTGGTCAGGCTTGCGGGACGCTTGGTCACCGAAGTCCCGCTGCTTCGCCCGTCTGAGCGATGCCTGGCGTACCGAGTTTGGCGACGAGGCTGAGCTCCCCACCTGGTTGGAGCTGCTTGGACAGAGGGTAGATATCTTTGCTCTTGACTATGATGCTATTCTCACTGCCATGTATGCATTGCCTATTAGTGCTGACCGTGCCTGTTACCTGTGCGTACCGCCTGACCCAGGTATAGAGCCTGCTGCTCTAGGTGCTAGTGCGTCTCCTGCTCTAGGTGCTGGTGAGGCTGCTGCTCTAGGTGCTGGTGAGTCTGCTCTCTCTGGTACTGCGCCTGCTGAGGCCTTGTACACCTTCACACTTGACTCAGGTGCTTCCCGCTCCTTCTTTCGCGACAGCACCACCCTCACGCCACTCAGTCGGCCGGTTGCAGTCTCCCTGGCAGACCCCTCTGGGGGTCCAGTCCTTGCGCACTCCTCCACGGTCCTGCCGTGTCCGGCGGTCCCGTCTGACTCCCTGTCAAGTCTTCACCTCCCCTCGTTCTCTATGAACTTGGTGAGTGGTGCTGACCTCCAGGACCAGTGGGCTGACCAGTTCACTCCTGGAGGTCAGCGCGTGACCCACTGTACGTGCTCCCGGACGGGCCGGCACCTGGCCACGTTTACCCGTGCGCCTGGCTCGCGTCTGTACACACTGACTACTGTGTCCCCTCAGGTCGCTGCGTCTGCGTCTTCGTCAGGTCAGCTAGCGGCCCCCTGCTCGTGCCGCGCTTTGTCGCACCAGACCCTCCTTTGGCACCACCGCCTTGGTCACCCCTCGGTGCAGCGCCTTCGTAGCATGCACCGCCGTGTCCTTGTCTCTGGTCTTCCCAGGGTTCTCCCTCCCCTCCCACCCTCGCCTGCTCCTCCCTGTCTTCCTTGTGTCGAGGGGCGGCAGCGCGCCGCTCCTCACTCCTCCTCGTTCCCTCCCACAGAGGCTCCCCTGCAGACTCTCCACCTGGACGTGTGGGGCCCAGCCCGCGTCCGTGGACAGGGCCACGAGCGGTACTTCCTGCTGGTCGTCGACGACTACACGCGTTACACCACGGTCTTCCCCTTGCAGCGCAAGGGGGATGTCCCTGATGTTTTGATCCCCTGGATCCGCGCTGTTCATCTCCAGCTCCGCGAGCGGTTCCAGTCGGACTTTCCTGTCCTGTGTCTGCACTCTGACAGAGGTGGTGAGTTCTCCTCAGACCTCTTGGCAGCCTTCTGTGCGGAGCACGGCATCCGCCAGACGTTCACGCTTCCGGCCTCTCCGCAGCAGAATGGGGTTGCTGAGCACCGCATTGGCTTAGTCATGGAGGTCGCTCGTACCTCCATGATCCATGCGGCTGCCCCCCATTTTCTGTGGCCGTTTGCGGTCCGGTACGCCGCGCATCAGCTCAACCTCTGGCCCCGTGTCTCCTTGCCGGAGACCTCGCCCACACTGCTGTGGACGGGGAAGGTTGGCGATGCGTCACGTTTCCGGGTCTGGGGTGCTCGTGCCTTTGTCCACGATACCACCGCGGACAAGCTCTCCGCCCGCGCTGTTCCCTGTGTCTTCCTTGGCTTTGTCCCTTACGCGCCTGGTTGGCAGTTTTACCACCCCACCTCGCGCCGTGTCTTCCCCTCTCAGGACGTCACGTTCGACGAGTCGGTTCCCTTTTACCGTCTCTTCCCCTACCGCACTGCCCCTCTCCTTCAGGTGTGTCTTAGGTAGACCCTCCTCCCTTGACTGCGCCGGTTGAGGTCACTGGTGACTCAGGTCCTGCTGAGGGTGGTCCTGCTCGGGGTGCTGCTTCTGGGGGTGCTGAGCCTGGGGGTGCGGAGCCTGGGGGTGCTGAGCCTGGGGGTGCGGAGCCTGGAGGTGCGGGGCCTGGGGGTGCGGAGACTGGAGGTGCTGAGCCTGGGCGTGAGGAGTCTGGGGGTGCTGAGCCTGGGGGTACTGAGTCTGGGGGTGCTGCACCTGGGGGCGCTGAGGCGTCTTGTGAGCAGTCTCCCTGGAGCGGCCGTCTGCGTAGTCGCTCAGCTGGTGCCTCGCCGCTGCACTCTCGTTGTCGACTCCCTCTCTCCCTACAGCAGCTGCGTGAGTGGTACGTTGGCCGTCAGGGTCGCGCTACTGGAGCTAGGGGCCCTGCTGCGGGAGGCACTGGAGCTGGTGACTCTGCTACTGGAGTTGTTTCTACTGGAGGTTATGGAGCTGCTGAGGGTGCTGGAGGTGGAGGTTCTGGAGCTGCTGGTGGTGCTGGAGCTGGAGGTTCTGGAGCTGCTGCGGGTGCTGGCGCTGGAGGTTCTAGAGCTGCTGCGGGTTCTGGCGCTGAGGGTTGTGAGTCTGCTGCTGCGCGGTCTCCTTGGAGTAGCTGCCTTCGTCCGCATGTGCCTCTCACCTCACAGCAGCTGCACGACTGGTACGGTCGCCGTCAGGGTCGTGTTTCTGGAGCTCGGGGCTCTGCTGCTGGAGGCACTGGAGCTGGGAGTGGTACTGGTCCCGGAGGTGCTTGTACTGGAGGTACTGGAGCTGCTGGGGCTAGAGGTGCTGAGCCTGAGGGTGCTACTGCTGGAGACCCTGGGTCTGGGGGTGCTACTGCTGGAGACACTGAGGCTGAAGACCCTGGGACTGGAGGTGCCGGTTCTGGGGGTGCTGCTTCTGGTGGAGCTGGTCCTGGAGGAGCTGGCGCTGAGGGTTCTGGAGCTGCTGGAGGTGCTGTCGCTGCTGGGGGTGCTGGAGCTGCTGGTGCTGGTGGCACTGCACAGCCACGCCAGTTCTTTGCTCCGCCGTCTCCGTCGTCTCAGCCACCGTCTGACTCTGTGCTTCGCCAGGTTCTTAGTCTCCCTTCGTCTACTGGTCTTCCGTTACAGCCTGGCTCACCGCTGCCTGCTCCTTCTCCTTACATTGAGCAGACAGGGGGTCTTACTGAGCGT